TATTAAAAAAAATTCTACCTAAAATATAGTTTTTAATGTATTTTTTAAATAACAATAAATATAATGCCAGCTAGTAGATATCTGGGGGACTAGGTGTTGTATACCACTTTCATCATTTCTCTACAAATGCTGCTGCTGCCATTGGCGTCCTCATGCTTCCTCTTGCTGAAGCCGTCAATTCTTCAATCTCAGCATTTAATTTATGTATTACCCATTCCATTGCTTCTCGGCCCTTAAAAAAATCCAATACATTTATTGTTACTGAGTGAAACCAAAGGCATCTATCAAATAAATGGAACACAAGGAAGTAGCAGGGGGCATTACAAGTCTAACTAAACCTCACCAGGACAGATCATTTGCTGCTTCTTCCTGATGTTATTTACCAAATAACAAACGCCTTGAGCAACTGACTTGCTCCATAAACTGATTTTTATTTTGTATGCAAAAGATGTTCTCCAAAGAAATCTATAATCAAGTGACAGTGATGTTTCATTTATTTCATGATTAGAGTAGTGACCTTTTTGGGGGTGAAACCAAACCTTTTTTCTTCTTATGTATTTGAAACCAAGATCCTATGTAAGTGCTAAACCAAAGATTTAAACCAAAATCCTGAGAGATCTGGTCCCTGGCTTCCTCAATCATTCTCTCCTGGCACACTATGCTCTGTGCAGTTCCATAAGGAGAAACAGCAGCAGCACTTCATTTTTCCTGCCTCAGGGCCTTGCACACTCAGCTCCTGTCTGACTGTGCAGAGGACCTGCACATCCCTCACAACCATGGCACCCCTCATGCAGCTGTCGCCATCACTCTCTGAATACACATTAAACACTCTTATACCTTCCTGCACTTTTCCTTTTCTAACGATACACTGCCTTCCTTAGTTCTACAAGGGCAGGGAACACATTTTTTTATTTCCAGATATATCCCCAGTCTAGCCTCGTACTCTGGAACAAAGCGGTGTCTATCTATGAATATCTTCTGACTACTGAATGATTACATTAAGTGTTATAGAACAGTGCACTAAGCATCCTTTTCTCTAAACTTAGTTTAAATCATGTGTTCTTAATGGGGCAAAAATTAGCTGGGTTGGTGGAAAAAATCTACCTTTTTATGTATAAAGCATTATCTATCAAATAACTACACAGGGTAGGGTGATCAGAAAAAGATGTCTAAAATGGATCTGGGACGGGGGAAATGATAATGAAAAAAGGTTGAGAATTGGTGCTTTAAATGACATGGTGCCACGTAATCAAGTATTTCCCACATGCTGGGCTCTGGGCCACACACTTTCCATGTTATCTCATTAACTCTTCATGCCTACCCCTGTGAGATGGACAGTTAACCTCCACTTCACAGATGGTAAACTAAGGCATAGAAAAGTTAACTTAACTGAGCAAGGCTGCTAAGAGTTAGAGATTGGGCCCCAGAGTCCATGCAAGCACAGCTCGCATGGATTCTCATTGTATCCTGGCTGAGAATTGACTTGTGAGGACAAACACATGCTCACTGCTAAGCTCTTCCAAAACAAAACCCAGGAATAACAGTAACCAGGGGGCAGCCTCACGTACTTTACTAGCATTTGAAGATATTGTGCTCGCCATCAGCCCTTCCAGGTAACTACTGAGGCTCACTCCTTTCACAGTGATGATGGCCTCTTGAGTCAAAACAGTTCTGGAACAAAACAAATTCACACAGTTTCAGAATGATCTAACTTTCATTTTTTAAAATAATATTTGGTAAAAGAATTAAAACACCTGTAAAATAAGTTTGTTAAACCATTTTTTTACTTACCTTTCTGGGTCCTGAGGATGTGGTTTATATATAAGTCTCTCATCTACTGAAACCATATTTGTAAATGAAATCTATAGAAATTAAAAAAAAATCAGTTCATGTGGGAAATCAGGATTAAAAACATTTCCAAAATTAAGTCACAAACGCAAACTTTGTATACAGAACAAGAACAAATAAACCACTTTGATATTACTGTGTAGGCAAAATTTAAATTTCATTCATTCTTACTTTTTATTAAAAATAATAAATTTGACAAAAGTATTATAAGAGTACTAACACACCGAATCCCAAGTCATTTTACTGAGTGCTAGCCCCTAGAAATGCTATGTAGGCTCACTGAGTGGTGAGGCTAAGCTGCAAAAAGGCAAAGGCAGCAGAGCATGTGAGTGCTGACTGCTTAAACGCCCACACAGAGCTAGATTCATCCCTTCAACACTAGGAGTGACAAAACCTTAGGCCAAATAGTTTAAAATAAGACAAAAGGAAGCCAAAACTTACATTAGTGGATTTAAGTTCCATTGTTTTCTCTACAGGATCAACTACAGAATGTTCTTGCACATATGTTTTGGTTCTTGCCGCACCAATCAGCTAAATAAAACATCCACAATTAGTAATCAGAGGAGGAAGGATTTCTTAACAAGTGTATCAATATTTTATTTGAAAGTAAAATGTGTTAATGTCTTGAACCAAAAATCTGTTTTGAAAAAACAAAACAAATCCATGAGGCATCAGACAAAGGTCAGAAAGGAGGCCCATCTGAGATACCAGGAATTCACACCCCATGGATAAGATGAGATGCTACCCAACACCCTCCCCAGAGGCAATGAGCAAGCAGCCCACTGAGCCACTGCAGTGATGACAGATGCTGGACCTGCCAATGACCAAGGAGCAGGGGCTGAAACTGAGACTCAGAGGGTCTGGGAAACATGGCATCTGGAACAAGGAGAGCTCAGAGCACCAGTCAGCACTTCCCTAGAGCCATCCAAAGGAGACGGTGCAATGGCCTCACTCTCCAGGCAGGAAACAGCCATGTCATGAAGGAGGACATCACATCCAGTGAGTGTCACTCCCCGTGCCCCAAGCCAATCACCCAATCTACTCATTTCTGGGCCCCCATTACCTAATGCAGTGGTTTGTACAAAGGAAGCAATCAGTGCCTTCCTGTTGCAAACGGTGTACTTTTGTTTACCTTCTAGAAAGGGAACTTCTACTAAAAACTGCACCCTCTCATACCAGAGTTTCCCACACTATAAACTGGCATTCCAGTTTCTTACTGGTTAAATTGAATCACTAAAGCCTGCTTGCTTGAAACTGAATAGAACTCCGTTTTGGAATGTATGGAGAGGAGGCCCAGATCTTGGAATGATGTGGCAACAGCAAGGCCAAGAAAATGCTGTTCTCTTCATGTGCACGAACCACTACTGACCACACAACTGTCAGCTAACAATCCCCACCAAACCATTACTTCCAAATCGTACTGTTGGTCTCAAGTTGCTGGCAAAAACAGGAAAAGTAGGATATTCCTCATTTTAAACTACAGAGCATTAGCTGGCTTCCTTCAGAAAGTTTTATCAGGTGCCTTCATGAAGACTGTAATAATATTTCCAATTCATTATACACTCATAAGTCAAGTTTATTATAATACAATTTGAACTGATGAAAAAATGACATTCAGAATCTGCTCCCACAGCCTATTTGAAATTATAATGTGGTTTGGAAAACTTCTCCCCAGCAGTCACATTTCTGCAGGAATAAAGACACACTTACAGATTTCACAATGGAAGGCAGGCCCCACTCTGTGCTGAGCAGTCTATGGCTGTGCAACTTTCCAGAAGGATCTACATGTCTGTCCAGTACATCGACTCCAACCACGCTTGGGTTCATAGGGTTTGGATATTTCTGCATTGCGGCGGTTGTAACAGTTTCCCATGGGTGGCTGCAACATAAAGCACAATCAAACATTCAAAAATATACCTTTAAATTAAGCATTTTATAACCCATCAAATTATTCTTTGCAATTGAAGTTTAATATACCTAGGGAAAATTTTCTCAAAAGAGGAGTTTAGGGGCTCAATCTAAATTTTAAAAATATACATTTTAGTCTTTTTTCAGCACAGGTTATATGGTACAATTGATTTCTATAAAGATTAAAATAGCCTACGGAACATCACAGCACAGGTTCTTAAATAATCTTTCCTATTTACCCATGTCTACTTTTACATGTAAATTTTGTTTCTAAGAACCAAATTCATAAAAATTATATTATACAGAATCAAGCAACAAAAATTATACCATTTATCTTTTTTTGTCTGACCCCAAGTATACAAAGTTACAAAGTAACAAGAGTAAAGACCTTATTTGCTCTGTAAATTCTTACAGTGATTACAAAGATTAAAAACATTACTGATTTAAAAATGTATTTTTCTCTACATTAAGGTAATAAATAAGTGACCCCCTCCAGGCAATCTTGATCCATTGCTTTGCTCTGAGGAGTGGTTCTGGTTGCCTTTGAAAAGATAATAAAATGTTTTTAAGATGCTGCTAATATGCTATTTCTTAATATAATAAGATTTGCTTATCTTCTAGGATTGAAACGGAACCTGCAGCATCTTCATCTCTTGAGAAAGCACATGTGCCTGGTGATTCAAACGTGATGTACATTCGTTCACTCTACAACTTATGTGAATAGGAGGCTGTACAAAAGACATTCTTTTCAAAGGAGCCCTCATTAACTACACTGAATATGAAAGGTGACTTAACTTTCAGAGAACCAAGTCTGACAACTACTTCACATCGACAGAAGGAAAATCTCAAAACCCTGTACAACCAGTGACATTATTTGTAACTAGAGGCCTGGTGCATGAAAATTTGTGCACTTGTTGGGGGGGGAGGGTCCCCTCAGTCTGGCCCGTGCCCTCTCACAGTCCGGGAGCTCTTGGGGGATGTCCCACTGACGGGGAGCGGGCCTAAACCACAGTCTGGCCTCCCTCTGTGGGAGGTTGATGGGTGGGCCAATTGGGGGAATGGTGCTGCCTGGTCCTGCACCCCATTGCCTGGTCACCACTGTCCCCCAATTACCATCCCCTCCCTCTGCCCACTGGCATCTGCCTTGGCTGGCCTGGCGCTGCCCACTTGCCGGTCCCAACCCCCCGCCAAGCGGTCATTCCACCATTTGGTCGATTTGCATATTAGGCTTTCATTATATGGGATGTTTTATTTTATTTTTTAAAATATATTTTAGGTACATGCCCTTGATCGGAATTGAACCTGGGACCCTTCAGTTTGCAGGCCAATGCTCTATCCATTGAGCCAAACCGGATAGGGCCATATAGGATGTTTTAATTTTTGCTACCATATTAAATAAATGAATCTCATTCTGTCTTTAATATCAGGTCTTACTCAGCAATCAATACAGTTATATAAGTGGAGATATTTTATTAATCTAAATAGCCCTCACAAATAGGAGTGATACAGGACAAGCACTGATTATTACCAAAGCAACTATCTAAAATGAAAATTGGACAAACCCTTTCCCTGACTTCATCTAGCCCCATACCATGGTCAGCTAGCTTCCTTGGACTTAACTCTTTACCTCATCCCTCCCAAAAAAATGAATAATTGCATGGCTTCAGGATGATTATACAATATTTGTAATTTAGGACTTCTCTCCTCTCTGAGCCAACTGGAAAACACCCACATTGACTTGCTTGAACTAAGACTGCTTTATGAAATAGAACTAGCTCAAACATTACAAAGGAGGCCTATTATGATACAGTCTTCCTGCAATTAATTTTAACTGTCTCAGTGTAATTATGTGAGATCTCACACTGGAAGATACTCATAGCACCAAAGGGCATTCCGGAGAATGTGGTGGTGGCTTACTGACCTGTCCAATTTCTTCACCTATAAAATGAGGTGGGAGACACTGCAACTCCACTCAAGCAACAACAAATTCTGCCAATCCCAAGAACAGTGCCTGGTAGGTGCATTGTGGGCATTCACAGCTGTTGAAGGAGCCAATGAATGACTTCACAACTGGATGCCAACTACATGCTAGGCCTCAGAAGGAAGTGTCGGAAACCAAAGATGGGTATGACACAGAATAATGCCTTAGACCAGTGGTTCTCAACCTCCTGGCCCTTTAAATACAGTTCCTCATGTTGTGACCCAACCCTAACATTATTTTCGTTGCTACTTCATAACTGTAATGTTGCTACTGTTATGAGTCGTAATGTAAATATCTGATATGCAGGATGGTCTTAGGCGACCCCTGTGAAAGGGTTGTTCGACTGCCAAAGGGGTCGAGACCCGTGACCCATAGGTTGAGAACCACCGCCTTAGACATTGTTATTAGATTGGATCATCCCTAAGTTAGATATGTAGGGAAGTGGTCTAAGATTACTGGGAGACGACGACTTTAATTTCAGGAATGCTGAGTTTGAAGAGCCTGTGGGACAGGTGAGTAGAGATGTCTCGTAGGACCTGAAAGTAAGGATGAGAAGTTCAAGACTGGCGGGAGCCCCCGGTACGATTCTGGTGCCCTAAGTGTGTACAAATCAGCTGGGACCACGATGGAAAAGCCCTGAGTATCTGGATAGAGTCAGGATCAGGACTTCTCCCAGGACATGTACAGCTTTTACGTGAACATGTCTGTCTTCTGGGAGGAGGGCCCCAGAGATTTCCTCAAATCCCAGAGAAGTCTGTGGCAAAAAGAGAAAAATAAAGATTAAGAATCACTGATAAAATGCTAGACAAGAAGGCTGATAACAGAATCTCACTCAATACTGACACCGAAGGGGAACGTTGGAAACATTAAAGACAAAAGGGCAGAGAGGGGCTGGGGACAAGCCAGGGAACAGGGTGTTAGGGGAGACAGAGAACATCCTAGGAGGCGCAGTCCCAGCAATGGACGCCCTGAAGCCCGGCAGAGGATCACCCCTGGCCCCGGGGGCCGACGGGGCAGTGAAGACTGTGTCCCGCGGGGGAAGATCAGAAAGACTAGGAGCGCAGGGTCTCTGCCCCCGGAACCCTAACCAACCAGGAAGAAAAGAAATCTTCTTGGGACTCCAACACCCCACGCTTCCCAGGGCCCGGCGGGCTCCGAGCAGGTCAGAAGTTTACAACTTGTTTTTTGTTTGTTTGATTTTAGTATATGTGCTGCCGAAGCGAGCACTACAACTTTTTAAAACTGCCCTCGGGAACACTGTTCATCAGACAGTGAAACTAAAACACACTGCAAAGCTATGAGAGCTAAAACAATGTGGCTCCTCGGCAGGATCATGGCAGGCAGGCAGCTCGGAAGGAGATGCGGACGGGGCGGCGAGCCCGGGCCGGCCCTTCCGGCGACGGCAGACCCGCTGACTACACGCGTGGCGTGCGGTTCTTTCGTGCGTGGAGGAGTCCGACACCCAGGAGGAGGTTTAGTTCCCAGCCTCCGCGGCTCCGGGCCATTCCCTCCGGCACTGACCATTTCGGCAACGCGGGCCGTCCCCGAGGCCCCGCCCACCCTCGCCCTCGGC